TGCGTGGGCAGGAGAGCGACAGCAACGAGCCGCAGGTCTGCAGGGAGGGGAGACACAGGTAGAACAGAAATCCACTCGGAGAAAATTACTTGGTGAGAGTGCCTGAGACTTGCACACGCAAGACACCTGATTCTCAAAGGCAACAGCCGCACTCTGAGCGGTGTTTGCTCAGCACTTCTGAAAAGAAAGCTGCACCTCTTCACGTGCCCAGGTGGGAATAAATCCTGTGCAAAGCCTGGCTGCAGATTGCCGTGTGTTCAGGAAAGTGAAGGATGTTTCGGATGCACAGGAGGCTGTTGAAGTGCCGGCAGAAGGAGCTCCCTGCCGGTGGGAGCTGCACAGAAGCGCTCCTGCAAATTCACCACGACCCTCAGCATCACCTGACTGCAGCTCCAAGCAGGAACTGCTGAACAAATGAAACTGTGCAAAAAATGTGGCTCAAGATTGTGATCTGAAGTGTCTTACACAGCCTTTGACAGCATCAGCCCTGTGTTTGTGATACAGCACTCACTGGTTCTTCTGCAAATGCTGCTTTCCCTTTTGGATATCCACATGTTTTCAAGTAGGACAACTTCTTTATCAGCTTTTTTTTTTTTTCCCCTAAACCCTATCTGCAGTCGTTGTTTTATTAATAACTTTTAAGTGGCTATTTTGCAAACCTTCCTTGTGCTGTGCGCTTTCCTAATTTATTGTAATTTCCCGTCCACTGGAGTGCCCTTACTTCCTTTATGTAATACATCAGCTGCAGGGCTGGAAATTGTGCAGCTACAAACTGAAAGAGCAGACTTTCTCGAGGCCAAATGCGGTCAGGCATCATTGCCACTGGGAGCAGAATTTGACCTGATAATCTAATCTTTTACCAGGGAGTATCTTCAGAAAACTATTGTTAGCAGCAGTAAATGACCTCTGCTAATGAAGCTGGAGCAATTAGTCCTATTCGAACCTGTCAAGAAAATGTTAACTGCTAACCAACAGTTAACATCGGATACCTCAAATAATGAGTGTTTTGTTTGCTGGTGTGTGTTAGGTGATGTGTTGGGAAATAATTATCCTTTGACTAGCAGCCAGCTTTGTACTAATCAGAAAGGCAAAGTCATGTTCTGTTTGAAGGATTAGACCTAAAAATAGTTCAGTTACTGCCACATCAACGAGCGAAATGAAGCAAATTCACCGAGACGTACACACCTTCTTCACATTTCAGTTTTTTTGGCCTAAAACCTCATTGTTCAGCTGGAACTTTCTGTTTGATCGTGTCAAAAGCACTGATGTGATCTCCTGCAATAGCACGAAGCACACCCCCCCCCCCCCCCCCGCCCCGAGGAGCGTTACCCTATGCACCGCTGCCTGGCTTTCAGAGCCTGCCAAATTCCCCAGTGCCTCAGGAGGAAGTAAGGAGTCTTTATATAAACAAGTGCGTATAATGTAAGATAAACAATATTTGTGATAATCATCTCGCAAAGAAATCGATAGGCTTTTTTATTTGAGCTGTTTGTATGCCTGCCCATCCATGAGGAGCAGCCGGGGTAACAGCAGGTGATTTATTTGTGCAATTCTGTAACTTCAGGCTGTCAAACTGTGCTCGAAAAAGTGACCGAGGTGGGAACAAGGCTAAAAAAGGTGGTACTGGTGAGCAAACCCAGGGTTGTCATTGCAAACAGGAAAAACTGGGGCATCTTTTGCCATACTATAGGTGTTGCCTTTTACTGGTAAAGCCTAACCGGTTTGGATAGGGACATACCAGGCAGATGCACTATGGAAACACAGGTTAAGAAGTGTGAGAGGTAAGATACTTTCCATACAGGACCATGCCACTGAGGGACTGGCAGCTGAAACATGCCCCAAACATCCCTAAAAGATTTTCTTACTCTTTTTGGATACCAGCAGCAGACTAAAGCAACCCTGAGAGGCTTCTCAGCTGATATACAGCCATACAGCTCCCTGGCCATCCATGGCTCCCAGGACACGTGCATCTTCCCCTCCCCTCCCACAGGCTCCATCTTACGCCAAGTTTTGCAGGACCTGGAGCCTTCCCCCAGCCTGGAGCTGTCGTCCTCTTGTCTGGTGCCAAATAGGAGGTGCCCCACGGCACCCCGGGGTGGCACCGCTGCGGGGTGGATGTGTGGGTGCTGCAGGGTGCTGCAGGGCACAGGGTTCTGTGGGGCGCAAGGTGCTGCGGGATGCAGGGTTCTGCGGGGTGCAG